TCAAAAATCAGGGTAGGATGCAGGCTCCCTTCAATCATTGGAGCAGGGCAGGTGCAAGGCAGAAAGTTTCTGCCATTATTTCTGTCTTCTTGAGATGGTCAGCTATTGACTTTGCTTGCAAGCCATAGTTCAACTCACTGAAGGGTGGTGCACTAAAGGGAGGACGTGCAGGTTGGAAAAATAAGACAGAGTAGCCTGGAGATCGTTTTGGCCCCCCATAATACAAACACCAATTCCATTTGCACCATTTCAAACCACCCCCACCCCCCCCATCTTCCCCACAATTATGATACTCTCTGCAGCTCCTGTCTTATCAGTTTACCTGTCTGGGAATTTTTCCCACATGGTTTCCCTCTCTTTTTTCTCTTACTGCCTCACTGCCATGACCCCCAGCAGTCCCCCTCATCAGACACTGTTTTCTCTCAAGTTATTTGTGCTATCTCCTCTCAGAAGGCTCTGCAGAAGACCCTTATCACCAAAGTCACCCCATCTATATCCTGTGGTGATACCTGCTTATGCTGGGAATCTCTACCATATCTGCCACTCCGAGTGGTGTACAACATCTCCCAAGGGTTCCATGAATGCCTTTTTGCAGCATTGTGTGTGTTTTGCTTTCTTGCTCAGTTTTCTGGCACTGCCTGTCTAGGCTTCAAGCAGTGCTTGAGGACCCTGGCACCCAAGAGTAATCAGATGAGCCAGGACTTTGTCCATCCTTCAGATCACTGCATCACAACATGGTTGCAGCTAACTCCTTCACAGCTGGCCACATCTGGTTTGGTAAGTGGGGAGCATCCCGTGGGAACTGGACATCCATTTTTACCATGCCATCTGGACCTGAGGAGGGTTATGGTTGGTACCAAAGGGGACTGACAAAAATCTAGTCTGGGGAAATGCCAAGAGCAACATCTTCTTTGAGCTCAGCTGAAATCACAGCTCCTGAGATCTGCAGGCGCCATGTGATGAGGGCTGAGATGGGACAGGAATCACAGCTGACCTGGCGACCAGGACAACTTCACTGTTCAGCTCATCAGCTGCATTGGCACTGGTGTGTGAAGCATCATCCCAGCAACAAAGTTCCCTCAACAGCAGCAGCAGAAACAGAAAAAGAGTGGTTAGCACAAAGCTCTTGGAACCCTTGTTCCTCATGTATTTTTTAAAAAAGAAGAGGCTACAATCAGACCCAGAAGAAATAGAGCATAAATATCAAACTTTGTTCAGGCTGAGAAAATGGATTTTATAATTAAAGATAGGCATCTTGTTGACAAGATATTATTTATTTTAACTGTGAAGTGGGCACATGGTCAACTTCTAATCTTCTGCAAGTTATTAAAACCAGCCAGTTCTCTTCCTGGCTGTTTTGTTGCGGGTTTTTGGGTTTTATTTAGTGTAATTTCTAAAAAAGCAACTGGGCTAACATCAGCTCAAGATAAAGATGCTTATGCTGGCAGAGATGTCTTGGAGGATCTCAGTAGCTGGGAATTTTTCTTTCTGTTCATACACTCCTGCTTGTCTCCATGCCAGCCCCACCAACCCAGCCTGTTACCCTCTCCCACGGAAGAGTGGGAATTCTGTGACAGTTAGAAAGGAAGGAGAGGGCCCAAGGTTGACTTTGTGTGACCAGAACTGACCTGTGGCTTTTTTTTCCAAGTGGGATTTGTTGCCACATCCTGCTGCCTCGGTGTGGAGGCGTGTAGGATTTCTGCATGGCAGATACCAGCAGGGATTATCGCAGGATTGGTGCTTGTAAGCGGTTTTGTGGTAAGTTCCTACAAGTTTTGAGGGTGTGGTCTCCCTCCTGGTATCCTCAGATTTTTTCATGGGATATGCTTGCGTTCATCGATGCTGTCAGATAAGTCAGTTTCCCTGTGTCAATACCACTGAGGGTTAGCTCACCCAAGGGCACCCTTTCCCACAAAACCAGCTTGTTCCCTCCAAGATGGGTGCAGTTCTGTGGTTTCCTTCAGGGCCTGCATCAGGTTTGGTTGTTTCTGCTCCACACAGTCCTCCCACACTATTCCACAGCAGATTTGGACACTGTCCCCACAATATTCAAGGTATTCTCAAAGAAAGCTAGCAGTGAAACAAATTCAGGGCTTTAGGGGGAAAATCCGGAGCCAGATATCTGAATGCTACACACTGGGAAATAGTAAACTTGCTCTAGAAAAGGTGCATGTCTCTATAGATCCAGCCAGGGATCACTCTCTGGGAGAGATATCTTTACTGGGAGAGATAAAACTGGAGAAGCATCAGCACTCAGGTGTCACTGGGTATCAACCATTGGTTGACCCAAGTTTCTGCAGCCCACACACCAGAGACAGACATCTAGCAACAGCAGCATCTGTGTGAATAATTTCTTCTGCTTCCATGCAAGTCTGAATCTCATCACCAGGAGACTTCCTATCCTTTCTGCGACAGGCCATTTTCCTTTGGCTAGCCATGCACTACCTGGATAATACAACTGGACCCACATCTCTGAGCAGCATGAATGCAGCCATCCTCCAGGCTTGGCTGCTGTGACATCGAGTTGGTCACCAGGCTGCCCTGGTGTGATTACAGGAGGGGTGACAATATCCCATTGGTGACATCCCTCTGTCAGTCCCAGCAAAATAAGACAGCATGGACTGTGAGGGGAGGTGCAGCTTGGGTGAGAGATGGACATCAAGCCATCAGTGTCCAGCTGATGCCAAACCAAACAGCACCACCATAGTCATGAGGCACAGTGCCACAAGATACAGCTATAGTGGACTTCTGCTTGAGGCCCAGCACAGGGTCATTGGGGCTTTCAGACCAAGTGCTCACTCACTGATACTGTGCTGCATTTTTTTGTTTGTGCTGCATTATTCTGAGGTCCTCAATAAGGCTTTGGAGCTGCTGTACACAAGCAAACTCCTCCAGATCTGCTTCTGTTGCCAAGACAAGTCAATGAGAAGTAGTTCTCCTACTAATTGTTAAACCATTTGGCCTTTAAAAATATGGAAAATAAAGAGAAGCTCAGAGGACAAACACATTTTAAAACAGTTACAGAGGTATGTATTCACATACTTGTGGGAGCCTGGGAATACATAAGATTGCAAAGGAATGAATTCACAGACTGGTCTATGGGGAGTATTTTTTTTCCCTGTGACTTCAAACTTCTCTCAGAGCTCACAGAGTTTTAGTCAGCTGGCATGCAAGAGAGGTACGACTTCCCTAAGTAAACTCTTCCTCGACTTGCCCTGGAAAAGCTGCTGGGAGAGTCTGTGAGACAGAAGGCTGCAAGCAGAGGTGAACCCTGCTCCTCCTCCTCCTCCTCCTCCAGCCACAGAGCAGGTATGTGGAGATGCATGCAAACCTGGGAGCATGCTGGAAAGTTGAGCTTTTGACTGCAGGAGAGATGGGGGCTCTGGTGCCTTAGAGCTGCAGCCTTTTAAAAGTAACACGGATGAGGAAGGTACTGTATAAATAAAAATATGCATATGCAGCTATACGTGTTCATTAACATACATTAAGTATAATTAAGAACATGTATCACTATTTTTTACTTCTTTCCATAATGGACACATTACTTTTAAATTGATTATCCTCTTTACATTCTTATTGCAGTAACACGTGCAAAATGTACTCATTGCAACATTTAACAAACCACACCTTTCACATCTCTAGACATTTTCATCTTGAATCTCACAGTATGGTGCAGATGTGAAGTGACCTTGTCAGGAGCTGGTGTGCTAAAGAGAATGAACAGTAACCTGTGGCAGAGGAGCCAGTATATGTTGAGCAGAATCCACCAAGTTGTTTGGCACATGCTGTTAAAGGACACGTGTTTTATCTGATTTTAATGAACAGAACCAGGAAAGTTGGACAGAATTGATGCTGTCCAGCAGAAGGGAGTCAGAACCCCCCTATTTTTTTTTTAATTTTTTTTTTTGGTTCACCAAAATTCCTTGTCCATAATGGCAGATGTCAGTGCAAAGAGGGGAAAACACATAACACTGAAGGCAAAACTCTCCTCCAGGCAGGAAGTGACTCAGTTCAGATATTCTTCATGCATCCAGGGAAGAAGATTTGCAGTGATCCCTGGGAGGCTTGCTTTGGTCACTGATGCTTGCGGGAGCTCTCTGGCAGGGTGACCCAGGCAGGGCTGTGGCCTGGCTGGTGAACCCAACACTCAGTTTGGTCCTGAGACAGCCACTGTGGAGCTGGCCAAACTCCCTCAGAGGTTTGCACTGCTGTAAACTATGATGCAGAAGCCAAAACACCCCTGCCCTGGTACCAGGGCACGTCAGAGCAGAAAAAGACAACACAGGCAATGTGCAGGTACCCCACAGGTTTACACAAGTGCATTGCTTCTGAAATAAAAGAGAGCTTCACATCCAAGGAAAATAAAGAAAAATCCATCCCACTGCCCTTTCTGGAAGGCATTTACATTATTTCCCATTCAAGCATTAAATTGAATTTATCCTTTCCCCCAAGGGTGCATTTGGTCATCCTACTGCTGTGCCACAGAGACAGAACTGAGCTGTTGGGAAACCTAACATATGTGTTGTCCCTACTGTGAAGCTTCCCTCCCATATACCCTTTTCCTGTGCATCCCATTCTGCATGGATGTGGAGTTTTGTGTTTGTGACTAGCTCAGTGCCCCTGATTCACTCCATCCCCTGGGAATCTGTGAGCTGACAGCTGTGGGACAGGCACGGATGACTTCAGAGACAAGCACGTGTCTGCAAAGCCTGCAGAGGGGATCTTTTTGTGGAATTTACTGACTGTTTCATGTGTCAATACGAGAGGAGCGTAATTACCAGCTGAGAAACTGCAGGAAATAAGCCAAGACTGAATGGACGAAATGGAAAATAAAGAGAAGCGCAGAGGACACACACATTTTAAAACAATTACGGAGGTATGTATTCACACGCTTGTGGGAGCCTGGGAATACATAAGGGATCGTGACTGCAAAGGAATGAATTCACAGACTGGTCTATGGGGAGTATTTTTTTTCCCTGTGACTTCAAACTTCTCTCGGAGCTCACAGAGTTTTAGTCAGCTGGCATGCAAGAGAGGTATGACTTCCCTAAGTAAACTCTTCCTCGACTTGCCCTGGAAAAGCTGCTGGGAGAGTCTGTGAGACAGAAGGCTGCAAGCAGAGGTGAATCCCGCTCCTCCTCCTCCTCCTCCAGCCACAGAGCAGGTATGTGGAGATGCATGCAAACCTGGGAGCATGCTGGAAAGTTGAGCTTTTGACTGCAGGAGAGATGGGGGCTCTGGTGCCTTAGAGCTGCAGCCTTTTGAAAGTAACACGGATGAGGAAGGTACTGTATAAATAAAATATACTGTGTTTATGGATAGGCTGAGAAACTGGCTAAACACAGTGTGTAGATGGCTCTATCCACACAGCTGTATATTTAACCCATCAGGGGCTTGCACTGCAGAGTCAGATCCCTTATGTTAAGGAGGCACCGATTAGTTTACAACAATGCAGTTGTCATACGCCAGATTTTTATTATTCTCTGTGCTTACAGTAGTGAAAGCTGGGGACATGTCTGGGTGTTTTTTCTTTCTCCACAGGACTTTAGTCTGTTTGTGGAATTGCTGCATTATAGTGCTCTGAACCGGGAGTGCTGCAGAGACCAGCCTTGTACACTGATTAAATGCCACTCGCCCAGCTCCCCGACACTGAATCTTAGCACAGCCTTGGGCAAATCTCAGAGCCCCGGTAAAATGGGCAAAAGGCTGTTTGGCTCCTCTGCCTCCTTACTATCAGCACTGTCATTGAGCTCTCCCTGTTGGAGCACGAGGTGTGAGATGGCAGCATTACTGTGCTACTCTTAAGATCCCGACAGCTTGAATGTCACCTTGGGTGAACAACGACTTACTGAGAGGTTTTTGCTGCATCTGGATTGTCACCACAGGAATTAACACTTAGACAGTATTTGGAGCTGATAAAGTTTTAGAAATTCCTTATTTATATAAAAGTCACAGATACACTTATAAAGCCAAACCCTGGTGTATTTTGATAAAAGTATTTCTGATGAAAGTGCAGATAAGTTTCCTTAAATAGAATCAAAAGTTAGGTTTTCTACAACAGAAGAGATTTGTTTGTGTGTTGTTTTTGTTTTTTTGGTTTTTTGGTTTTTTTTTTACTAAGATGTGATCATTTCAACTTTAAAATCAATTTATTACTCGAAAATGCTGAAATCTGTTAATTTTCAGTAAAAGAAATTCAAAACAAGTAATGTCTTTTTAAAGCAGATATTTCCATTTCAGTGAATGTATCAGTACTTTACCTTTTACTATTATGATGATGGATGGATTCAAGGGGGGGTATCAGTATCATGCAGTCAGATCTATCAGAAGTAACTACCCTCACCTCCTGTTAGATCACATAAATTGAATAGATCTTTTCCCAGATACTGATTCCACTGTCAACAGAAAGAAATTGCTGAATTGAAAGCTTTCTTTTTATTTTTGTTGCACTAAAATAATATGAGAAATGACTATGTTTTAGTTCCTGAACTTGAGTTTTCCCGGGAACTGTGTTTCCAGGGAGATAGTTTGTTTTCATGATCAGAGAGTTTAATTTGCAAATCACTTTCTGCTGAAAAAAGTGTTTTAATTTTCCCATCTCCTGCTCTCCCTTCACCCAGCCCCTCGCTCAGCAAGTCTCCAGCCTGGTGAATTTCATGCAATTGTCTTTTTTTTCTTCTTCTTCTTCTTTCCTGTAGAGAGGAGTATTGGGAAAAAAAAGGTGAATAAAATAGGGAATTTGGCTAAACCCCATGTATCCAATTAATTGAAAATGTTAATTTCTGGTAGAGAAGTTCTGTTGGCTAAACACCTGATACAGGCGCAAGTAGAGAGAGGACAGAGTGAGAAACAAGGAAGGCATGAGCTTCAAAAGACAAGAGAAAAGCCGTGCTGGGGTTAGAGGAGATGTAGGAGTCCTTGTTTTGGTATGCAGATTTGACTTGGCTGTGGTTTTAATGAAGCAAAGTCCTAAGCAGCAGAATCAGTGCATGCCCTTCCCTCCTGGTTTGGCATTTGTTTCTGTCCAGGCTCTTCTTCACAGTTCACCTGGCACAACTGTTTGGTCACTTGGTAAAACAGCTTGAGGAAATGAGCTGGGTTTTTTAAAAGCTCAACCAACAAAATCTCTGCTATTTTTATCCCTGCAAATCCAAACTTCCCAAAGTGCTCTGAACATCCGTTGTAGAAAATGCAAAGCTGCAGTCATCCTGGTCACTTGTTGCTCTTTGTTACAGGCATGATATTAGTAGTCCATCTCTAAACTAAATCAAAATTTCCTATTTTTAAAAATATATTTTTTTTCTTCTCATGGAGGCCTGAAATGTTTGAGGTTTGTCTTGCAAAAGTGTCTGTGCATTGCAAGTGCTATTGCACACTGCTGACGGCAAACTCCAAACACAGAGCATCTGAAAGGAATTTAAACCTCTGGACACCACAGAAGTCCCCAGCTTCAACACAAGTTCCCTGCTCACCCCAAGGGGGTTGCAGATAGAGAGCTTGAGTCCAGGAAGCATGCCAAAGTCAGCACTGCAGCCAGCTCCAGACAAGGGAAGCTCAAGACACGGCGTGCTTGGAAGGTGGTCAGAACGAGCCTGACACTAGCCCAGTCACGGGGAACCTGTGTGGGGCTGTGATGATCTCACTGACAGACTGTCCTCTTGAGAGCTTAGCATGGTATTTTCTATCCATTGCCCTCCCCCATTGTCTTTGCATAGCATTTTCATGGCTGGACCAGCAATCTTTTCTGCAGGAAGGTGTCCCTAACCACAGCAGAGGGGTTGGAGCCAGAGGATCTTTAAGGGCCTTTCCAACCATAACCATTCTGTGATTCCATGATTATGCCTCTCATTTCAGGCTGCATTATAAGGCCGATTAGATGTTAAGAACCCAGATCTTTGGCATATTATTTCAACCATGGGAAAATTGCATTGTAACAGTTCAGGCTTGTGGTCTTGGGAGAAAGCAATGGGAAAACCTGTGTAAAGGTGGGTTTTCCAGCAGCAGTATTAGCTAGCAGAAGGAAAGGGGAAAACCAGCAATTAGACAGCTGCTTCAGCCCTAGAGGGCAGCACAAAGTAATAAATACAAACCTGAACTCACAAACCGTCTGAAATCATCTTCTGTGTGACAGAAGAATGTCTGGCAGGGTGGTGTCCTGTTGTGGCTAATATCCTTAGCTTAATTGGTTGGATCTAAACAGAAACCATTTCCATCTGAGAGCTCTTTCTACATGATGCCCAGCATAAGCACCTGACTTCATTGGGTGGCCTGGGTATCAATTAGGCAGCATCTGGAACCACACAAACCCATTAAATGCCTTGCATCTTTCTTTTCCACCAGGCTGAAATGAGACACACTGCCCAGCATAAGCACCTGGACTTCATTGGGTGGCCTGGGTATCAATTAGGCAGCATCTGGAACCACACAAACCCATTAAATGCCTTGCATCTTTCTTTTCCACCAGGCTGAAAAGAATGCAAAGCTACACAGGTAGGCCATAAGTGTAGTAGGCTCAGAGGTGGTTCAATTTTTTGTATTCCTTGTGTCCATCTCCATATTCGATGAAGATGGGGTGCCAGCTTTCACACGTGTTGACCTCTGTGTTCTGTTTGAAATCTAACCATAATTGCTTTTACCTTCAGAACCATGAAACTGAACATCCTCTTGTTGCTGGCAGTGATGAACACAGGAATCTTTAACTATCATCCCACAGAGGGGACACCCTGTGAAACGGTAAGGAGGGATTCCTGCTCAGGCCCTTTGGGATCTGCAGTGAGGCTGGGACACCCCCACTGCAGGCTCTGTGCAAACAGCCATAGTCTCTGAAAAGAGAAATCCTCCAGGACCAGACTTTCTGTGGAGGCAGAGGTGGGATTTCCAGCGTTAGGGGGTGGGGAGCAGGCACTTCTCAGGCTATGTCCTTTTTGTAGTGACAGCATTTAAGAGGGGTGGAGGAGGGGTAAGGTGGGAAGAAGGGTCATTGTCTTTTGCTTTTTTTTCTAAAGGGGAGCTGGTTAATAGAAATTTGACCTGATTTCCCTAAGACCATAGAGGGGTTCTGGGACTGAGACAGAGAAAAGACTTAGACCTAAAATCAACTCCTTTCTATCAGGCCTAAGTTCTTTGTGCTTTAAATAAAGAATCTTCTGCGAAATACCTCTATACCAGCCCTTTTGTAATAGCAGGGAGACTGACCTCCTCTGCCCTGACACAGCATTGCTGCCAGAGAAGTTGCACCTGACTTCTGCTGGAGGAAAAAGAAGCGACAAAGACTCTTGCTACAGTACAAAATTTTCTCCTTGGATTTTTGCAAGGACCTGGTACAATATTATAAATGTTATTCAGACCTGAACTTTCTCTCTTCCCTATCAAAGCATTTCTGACTGTAACAAGCTTTTAAAAATACCCTTTTTCCCCTGAATATTGAAGCTGCTTAGCACAAATCTTCAAGAATTTCCAAAATAGGAAAAAAAACCCTATTTACTAGCTGTACACAACTCCCTTATGGGACTCATTGCATTCCTGCCCACCTGCTGTGCCACTGCACTTCCTGAATTCCAAAGAAATTAAAACCTAGTTTATATAGAACAATTTTGGGAATGTACTTGACTGAGTAGCTCAGTTCATTGGCTGGAGAGGGAAGTTTGATGAAGCTTGGGTCCCATGTATCACAGAAAAGAGAAGACTGGGCAAGACACGCAATAACCCAAGCAGATTTGTCCCATTCCAGTTTTTGGAAGGGTCACAGACCCAGCTGACTGCTGTGAAGTAAACATTTGCTCGTTTCCAGCACTCCACCATAAACTGCTTTCATCAAGCCAACAACCCAAGGCTCTAAGCAGTTATCTGAGATAAATTTAGCTCTGACAAAAAGATGCAGTCAAAGGCTGGGATGCTCATCTCGAATAAATGAACAGCTCAGCACTGCAGATGTCAATGCTGATCATCTTCCTTTGCTGGATGTTTGCTTCAACAAAAGATGCATGTAAATCCAAACACCATTTAAAGAAAGAAGGAGCTACTGGATTAACTGTTGGGTTCATTGAAGTCCTGAATCACTATTTTTCATCACAGCCTCACTGTTTCACAAGGCACTTTCCCTGTGGCAACACCTTTAGAACAGCAAGGGCTCAGAATTTAATACTTTCATCCCAAGTCTCCTGAAAAAGGCATGAGTCAGAAACTTGTGCCCGTCTCTGACTCACCACTGGTACTCCTGTCATTGAACAAGAACCCTAGGAGATGTTTTAGGAAGTAAGCAATCCCTACCAGACCCTTGACACAGGTGTGAGCTGCACTGATTACACAAGTTATGGCATGTCTACTTGTTTGCAAAACAGAGCTTAAATGTCAGGAGGTTCTTCCTAACTCATGTTGCTTTCCAAGGTCAGGCAAGGCTTCAAGCAGATCATGTTCTACCTCCCAAAGTAAGATGTTTCTGCTAATTCATGTTTGCTGGCAAATGATAAGCTTTGAAATAATTTAGAGAAGGGAAGAGATTTTAGGAAATTCTGTCTTACCTTGGATTGAGGTGGTGCAAGGACATGTGCATGACCATTTATCACAGGTCAGCCGATGTGGGGTACCTGGGCAAACTGCTGAGGTTTGATTCTGTCTGAGACTCCACCTGGGCAGCCCTTCTCAGAATGGCCATGGACATCACACAAGTTCAGGTCAGTGCCAAGCTCCCATAACCCAAATTCTTCAGTTCAGATGTTCATGAGTTGACAAAGGAGAACACGAGTGGAGGCTTGGATCCAGCTGCTTGTTTTGTAGGACTCTTACCAGCGTGGATGACAGCTTCCTTCCAGTGCTGAGCAGTGAAGAACTGAAACAAGAATCCAAATGATGCTTAGCTGTTGAGCTCTTGGATCATTCTTTTGCTAGCACAAAAGTGGGACCAGATACTGAAGGGACCAAATGCTCCTCAACCTGTAGTACTTCTTGACAATGGACTTGAAATAAACTGATGGCAGCACTGGCAAAAAAGAAGAAGTCAGAACATGAGACTGGCAAAACCATCTTTTCCAGTCTGAGGCTGCCAATCCATTGGGCTAAGAGATGGGAGAAAGGGAGATACACCAAATAGATGCTCCATCCCACTGAGATGTGTTTTATCCTTTCTTCCTATTCCTGATGAAGATGAAATTCATGCAGTTTGAGCCTCAGGGCAGTAGAGAAGGTGCAGAAGATGAGAAATATGGTGAGGATCAAAATTGTGAAAATAATTATAGTTTTAAAAGAAATATGGGAGGGGAACTATTACAGGAGCAAAGGGCAGGTAGTGGGAAGTATAGATTTAATCTGTCCCTTTTACCCCTGTGACAGTTCCATGGATGCAGATTAAAGGCCAAATTCTGCAAGTTACATGGTGATCTGGGACTGACCTCTCAACCATTGACTTCAGTGAAAAGCGGCTGGTTGACATTGACAGGAGTTGGATCAGAACTTTGCTGAGATTCTTTCTCCCAGAAGGAGTGAAGGGGGCTCTACACTTGTTGAGATTTGGCTCAAAGTGTGTGAAGAAACCTGGCATCAGCCTTAGGCTGCAAAGTACCTGCTGCTTTTTCACCCTGGATTTTTTAATCTTTCTGGCTTCTGCTTCTTCCACAAACCAATTTTAAAAAGCTTCCTTCTCATGCCTTGGAGCTAAGCCCAACTCTAGGCATATTTTAGCTCAAAATGAGCAATTCTACAATGGGTTTGCAGGAAAGAAATAATGTCAGGGAAAGGCCAGAAAATTTCCTTTTTTTCTCCTTAATATTTTTAGCTGGGGGAGATTTAAGTGAATTGGAGGATGGGCAAAAGGCTTTCAGGTTTTTGTAGTCAATTTACTTGGGATCTTTGGGAAAGATGTATTATAAGAAGGACTGTGAAGCAGTCTGACTATATCTAGAGTTCAGATCAGCACTTGTACTTCTCTGACACATTTTTGTGTGGTCTCCAAAATTTAGATTATGCAAAAGAGGTTCACAAAAGACTGACTAGTGCCACACTTCTCCAAAGCAGACATGCCACTTCATTTATCTCAAAGTTCACATGAAACAGATAGGTTTTAATTGTTTTTACTTGTAATGTTTCTTTAATATCTGAAAAGCTTTGTGTCATGTAATTTGAATCCTGCTTCTCCACAAAAATTAAGATTCAACAGATTTTCTTCTTTATTTCTTTCCTTTCTGATCTTTCTACAAATACTATATGGCCCAGGCATCCAAACACATTCATGACAAGAGTTTTTCTCCAGTAAATTAAATGCCACCTAAGCCTTTCACTTTCCACTTCCTCACACTGCTGTATGTTCTCCTTATTAACAAAATATAGCTTGATATTTGTGCAAGGATGCTCATATTCATGCTCCCAATCTTCCTTATGAACACACACTCCAAATTTGGCCTGGACACAAACTCAATCCTAGCTGCTATTAAACAGACTTGCTTCTGGAAAGTGGATTTGATTTTGACATTTGTTTTTTTTTCCTCTATCTGCTGCTGAGAATTGGCCTGAAAAAAGTATGACCCTCACTGCACCTCACAGCTTTGTTCTCTCTCAAGTGCTGGCTTTACAGAATTTGTCTTTTCCATGTGTGTCATGTGTGTGTTGTCAGAGCGCTTTCACAAGGCACTCTCCTCATGCAAGAAGAAGGGAACTGTTACCTTAGCAAAAGGATAAACATGGATAGTAAAAAGCAGGAGGAGTTTGGAGGTTCACATCAGAATTCGGTCATTGAATTACCCATTTTGGATAAAGGTGTATTACTAAACTAAGCCATGGCTAAAGGAAAATATGATTGAATATCTGAGCGTGTGACTATGAAGGAGAGACAGGCTTTGTGATGTAGGTTCCTTATATGTTTTTCCATCTTCTTGCTTTGGGACCCACACTCTCAACAGCATGAAGCTTTTTCAAGTACAGCTTACTCTTGCAAGTTGAGTTTAAACAATCTCATACAGAGATGAAAGTGAGAAAATTAAACATCAGAAGAAAAATGAAGAAATGTTGCTTGATTGCAATGGAAAAGGGGCAAAACTCCTTCACTTGGGACTACTGAAAAGAGTCCAGGAGAAAGGTACAAAAAGGGCATTCAGTAGGTATCAAACACAGATAAAACTCTACTGTTGTAAGTCAGTGATGCCTTTAAAATGAAAAGAGTGTTGTTAGCTGCTGAGAGGTGTTAGAATTGTTGCTCTTGCTGTCTGACTGCTCAGATAAAGTGGTGGGATCAGCATTTCAGGAGGAGGTTCTGCCTGGATCTTGAATGTTATTTTCCTTATATATATAATGCAAAAATGTTTTTAATTTGTCATGCGACACCCCCTTTTCTCTCCTTTTCTGGCAGGCAAATTCACAGGTATTTTGCCACAACAAAGACCTCCACCAAATCCCTCACGAGCTCCATCCGAATGTAAACAAAATAGATCTGTCTGGAAACCTGATTCAAAGCATCCCTGAAATACCATTATCATTTTACACTTCCCTCCAGTATCTGGATTTAAGCTTCAACCAGATAAGCTTCATCACGTCTGGAGTGTTTGCACACATGACAAGTTTGCTGGAAATAAATTTAGCCAATAATCATTTATATGAGCTCGCTCAGAATGGGACAGAGGGGATTGGACTTTTGCCCAAGGTGGAAATAATGGACTTGTCCCACAACAATCTCTACAGTGGGATGGCTGAGTATTTCATTAATCAAGCTCCAACACTGCGGTATCTTTCCTTGGCAGACAACAGTATTGTAATGATATCACACAAGATGTTTCAGGGATCTCCCAATCTTGTGGAGATAGATCTTCAGAGAAATATCATCATGGAAATAGAAGAAGGTGCTTTTGAGACTCTAGCGAACCTTTCCAAACTCAATCTCTCCACAAATTCAATTACTTGCATCTCTGATTTCAACCTCAGGCAGTTGGAGATACTTGACCTTAGCAGGAATAGCATTGAGACCTTCAGCATCACAAAGTCAAATGATGAATATAGTTTAAGATGTCTGGATCTTAGTGAAAACAAATTGCTTCACTTCCCAGTCTTCCCTGAGGTAAATAAACTGGTAACTCTGAATTTATCAAATAATTTAATCCAGCTCACTGCTGAATCCCCTTATAACAAAATGGACTACATGGATAATGAATGGCTAGATGCTTCTTTTCATCTTCTTGATCAGAAGCAAAGTAAAAATACAAGTTCTCTTTATTTATCCCAGCTTGTATATTTAGACTTAAGTTATAATAAAATCAAATCCATTCCAGATGGGTTCTTTGAGTCAATGTTGTCCCTTCACACCCTTAATCTCAGCAAAAACTGTCTTCAGGCATTTGCAGTAAGTTATGATAGTGCTTTGGTCTCCCTAACTGTCCTTGACTTGAGCTACAATGCTTTGCAGAACCTTCTCCTCGATGCTGGTGCTCTGCCAAGTTTGAGGGAGATTCATATTCAAAACAACAACCTTCAAACCCTGCAATTCGACATCTTTTCCAGTCTTCCTAGCCTCAGACTCCTTAACCTACAGAGCAATAACATCAGCCTTTGCCACATGCACTCGGGATTAGCTAAGCAAAGACTTGCTGGAGAGGAAAGTGGTTGTGTGTCGTTTGTCAATTCTCCTGCTCTCCAGTACTTGTACCTAGCAGACAACATGCTGAGCATCCTACCAGCACGCGCCTTCCACAAGACTCCACTGCTTGTCTTGGATCTCTCCATGAACCCTGGACTGAAAATAGACCTTAAAGCACTAGCAGGACTGGAAAAGTCTCTGGAATACTTGCATTTACATGGCAATAGCCTGATAGATTTAAATATTGACTTGCCTTGTTTTAGTCACCTTAAACATTTGAACCTCTCTGAAAATCAGCTGAACTGGCTGCCTAAGTGGAGTAGTGACACTCCACTGGAAGTTCTAGACCTACGGAACAATAGGTTCAGTACATTACAGGACAGCAACATTTTAGCATTAGAAAATTCACTTAAAAACTTGTATCTCACCGGGAACCCACTCGACTGCTGTGGAAACATCTGGCTTTCATCAATGATCCAGAACAAAAATGTCCAGATCCCCAACGTGGAGCACTTAACGTGCCAGTACATTCGGAGCTTCGGGTATTGGGAAGAAATGCACGTTGAGGACGTTAGACCAGAAGACTGTGAAAAAGAGGATCTGAAGAAAATCAACATCCTCATTATATTAACATCTGTACTAGTTTTATCTGTGATCATCATTGGTGTGGGTTCATTTTTTTGCTTCCGAAGGCAAAACTTTAGCCACCAGTTTAAAGCATAGAAACAAAAAAACATCCTGAAAACTGAAGAAATCAGGTGCTACCCCGACACTGTGTAGAAATGAAGGATAAAATTTTCATCTTTGAGTCTTAACTGTGGATTTTACAATGGTTTTGAAGTGTCCCTGAACTGCACCACTGTACTGGTCTGGGTTGCAGGAATGGGAAGGCGAATTGGCTCTGTTTTGCACTTGCTTCATTCACATGCAGATCTGCTTAAAAGATTACACAGTGTTAGAAGAGGCCACTGTAAAGTTCTGCTGCTGTTTTGAGGGATGTGTAATTTAAACCAGCTCAGAAGAAAAAGGCCTGTAAGATCTTGTGACCTGAGAATTTTCACTAAGCTCAGATGATGCCATCAGCTAATTAGGAAATCCCTTCTCAAAGTTATGTGCCTCCACACAATGTTTCAGTTTGGTCTGAGCTTTGCTTTTACCTAGCTGGTTAGCTCCTAACCCTTCTTAAATTGAAATCATACAAAGATGTGCCAGAGTGGGTCAAAACGCAATCTTCACTCAGTGAAGTTAGTTGCAAATTCCTCTCGAGTTCCAAAACAATGAGAATTTAGCTAAAAACAAACCAAAACAAACCCAAATGGAAATCATAACGAGTCTCCATTGTGCTCCTGCCTACCATTTAGACAATGGAAACCAAAGACCATGTGGTAGGAACCTCTTTGGATGTCACATTTTTTGTTAGGATGTTGCTCCAGTCCCTGGGGCAAGATATGAGAGGTACCTGAGGTCAATTAGTTCTGGCACTTAGTATCCACAAGGGATGTAAAAGAAATCTCAGGCATGAAGCAACTGATGATATGTTACTCAGATCTGCTCAGAAGGCCACATGTTCACAGTTTAACTAAAAGAGAAGAAATTTGTCTCTCATGTGCAATACATATTTAACTGGGTATAATGTGAAGAAATTAATCTCTGGGGAGAATACTTTGCAAAAGAAAAATCTTGCAGAATGAATTTCAACCAGCTAGAATTGGACTGAAATGCTTACATTTCTAAGGAAAACTGTGGGAAATTCACGGCATATGGTTGCATTTCAATTTAGAAGAATAATATATCTATTTTTAAAGGTCATGGAAGGTTAGACTGTAAAAACATATCGTTGTGAAATGATACACAGGGAACCTAGTACTGTGCCATTATTTAGATCAGATATTCACTGTGTCACCCTGAAAAGATATTATAGTCTAGAGGATGGGCTGTAAGAAAAGTTATGTAGATCTCATTCTGTGATGGGTTTAACATAGCTAACATGCTATGTTGCTAAAAGTCAACACTAACATGTATTTTGTTCCCTACCCTGAGAGAAAATTCACCCTTTTGAAGTGAAGAAAAGCTCACCAACAGTGGGAGCTTGACCTGCTAATGGGGTGCAATGGCTTCAAAAGGAACTATGTCAGGTCTTCTGTTAATGCCACGAACTGTACGTTAAGGCATATAGCAGAAATAGAGGTCAAACCAAAACCTGTCCAGGTAAATAACTCAGAGTCAAATTGCTGCTTCATTTCTGTTTCTTCAAGCTAGTGAATATAAAAATTAACATACTACAAAAAGGTGCATAATTCTATTTTTAAAGCAGCTGTGTAAGAAACTGGCTGGTGGATTTCACTGTGGAATTTTGTATAATAAAAATATATTTGAATTTTGTAATAAGCACTGGGTTGTGAATATATTAAATCACCAGTTTAAAATGCTCCACAGATGAAAAGAAAAGCCTTCTTATTTTTCCTATGGTGTTCAGACTCCACCTTTGACCTTTACCTTCTGGTCCTGAAGAAGGATTTGTTCTATATCTTAGAGTGCAACCAATGGAGACCAAGATCTACTGAAGATGAAGGCAAAAATTCAGAATAGGTTTTCAGAGAACTTGTGGATGACACATCCCTGGAAGTGTCCAAGGCCAGGCTGGATGGTGCTTTGATCAACCTGGTTTAGTGGAAGCTGTCCCTGACCACGGCAATGGGGCTGGAACTAGATGTTCTTTCAAAACCTTTCCAACCCAAACCATTCTGTGATTCTGTGGTTCTATGAATTTGCACAAACCCTCAGCAGCAATAGGGCCTGATCTAACATCTGCAAAAGCCCATGCTTGAGCCCATCATTGGCTCAAGACTTTATTAAAGTAGGGAAATAAAGTCTAGTCTTTAGTCTCTAGTCTAGTGGATTGCACAAGCAGCAATCACAGGAACTAGTTGGAAGTCTGATGTTGAAGTTGCTGAGCTTTTCCCTTGGTGTGAAGGCAAGCTGAGCTGTGTGCCCAGACACTATTTAATCTGCCACACACCGAGTTTATGGCTTTTATGTCAAGCAGGACAATCTCCTTCTCAGAGCCAGTATTAACTTGACTAGCATGGCTGGAATTAAACCTGATGACAGAGTCAAACCCACTTAATTAATAGTTTTCACACCACATTTGTTTGGCTGTCCCAAAAGGAAGTGCTTGTTATTACTAAACGTCTGGGATTAATTAGATTTCCATTAACTTCCCCAGGAGCAAAAACAGTTTTCTCAAGTATAAGCCTCGGGAATAAAATGCAGCATGGCTTGTTTGGATTTTTCTGTTAGCAGTATAATCAACCAAGAAGTGACATGACCCTGCTCCAGCCAATTCTATTATTCTGGATGTGGTGAGGGGCAAGAGGGAAAAAAACCCAAAAACCATGAATAAAATAGGAGAGAGGAAAAACAGGGAGAAATATGAGCTCTGCATGATACTGTGCATCAAAATAGGGGGTATGTAGCTGACAGCCCCAGCTCTTGCATCTGCTGAGTGTTACTGTGTCTTCAAGAAGTCCAAATGCCAAATTATGATCCTGCATCACACATAGATATTATTCACATCTTCCCACCAGTCAGCTCCATTTTCCTAGTAGGTTGGTGGCATAGTTTAATAAAGAAGAAAATTAACCCTGTCCCAGCTGACACCAGGACAGTAGGCATGGTACAGGCTGTTTTGACTGGAATTTTGCAAGCAAGAATTTACACCCTCATTTACTGCTTTTTCATGAAGTCCTTGCAACAGACTTGAACCTGGTCTTGAACACTTACAGGAATGGGGCAACCTGTTCCAGCATTTCATCACCCTCTGAGTAAAGAATTTCTACATAACAACTTATCTAAACGTGCCTGGTATCAGGTAGATATAAGTACTGGAAACATTAGGAATGCTAGAAAAACCAGAAACAGAGAGAGACCTTAAATGCTCAACAAGTCTTTACTGATGTTAGCCATCCATGAAAAATAAGCCTCAGTTTCCAGAAGCATTGGCTTTTGGTTTTTTTCTCCAAAGTTACCCTTCTTTTTTCCTGCAAAGTGCTCTGTACTGTAACAGAGTACCAGGGCCTCTAGCTACAGCCTTCCCTGCAGGGACTCTACTGGGTCCTAAAGTAGCCACAGTTAGTATACAACAAAGTAAGTGCCTCCTGATATTTTGGGAGCCCAAAGCATTTGCTCTCCTGTTCTATCTAATCTCCATATCATTCAGTACCCTCTTACTTTCTTGGGAAGAAAAAAAACTGACACCATTTGGATCCCCTGCATCTCCCTGAGAAAGAAAACCGGGCAAGGTATCCTCCAGCCATATTGTTTTCCATAAACAATTACCTATTCTGTTTGTGCACACATGTGCAAAGACACAGACACTCAAGGCTAGTTTAAGAAATAGATCATTTCAGGATTAGCTTTGCTTAACCTAAATTAGAACAGCCTGTGCTAAATGATCATCTGTAATAACAAACAGCCTGTGCTGCTGCTGCTTGTGGATTCCTATTTCATGCCTGTCCTTGTGAAACATTTTGATCAGGATTTTCAAAAGCGATCACTGATTCATTTCAGATGCCTAAATTTGCTGCCTGTGTCTTGCCAACCCTGAAACAAGTCACATTTTCCAGAAAACTAGGTCCATTTTCTCTCAAAACCAAGGCTCTGTGGTATGTCTTATACAAGCCCCAGGAAAAAAATGAGGTTGTCCAGATGTGTGTATGTAGTTATTTCACCTAGAGCTTTCTAATGAAAATTTCTGCTCTGCCAGAGCTGTTTGGAGCACCTGAAGAGCTGAAAAACAGCAATGTCAACACCTCCTCTGCCCTCAGAAGGACCATATTAACCTAACTAAACCCCCACTCTCACTCCCATCATCAGCTGCTGTGGGTAAATTTGAGTGAAAAAAGGAAAAATAGACATAAGAAAAAACCCCAAAAATTAAATATAGTGTCTTCAGCTTCCTGTCAATTTTGCAACTATGCAGTCAGAACAGATTTTGGTCCCATGGGTCCTGGACTGGTGAGGGTCCAAGTAGATTTTGCCAAGAAAAAAAAAGGAATGAGGAATGAGAGGAGTTTAGAGCCATTAAAGTGCTCAGAGTGAGTGATGGGAAAAGGAGAAAACAAAGTGTTGGTGTGCTTCCCTCTGAGAAGTGAAGAAATGAAAATGCTTTGGAGGAACAGGTTGGTACTTACCCACCTTTCCCCAAGAGTTTAGAGAAAACCAGTGAAGCTTCACCCAATCTCCTCAAGAGGAAAGGTGAAAAGAGAGCCTAGGAGACAGATAATAGAACAGAAATGAAGGATAAGAGAAGAGGTGTAAGATGGAAGGGAAATGGATAGAAAAAAGAGTTTTAGCACAATTCATGTCTTCATGAAGGGGAACAGAGAAGCATAACTGGAAACTGAAGAGCATCAAATAGAGAGGGACAGGAAAAGCTTTGCAGAGAGGTGGTCAGAGATGAGCTGTGCAGAGCCTGAGGGGATACAGGTACCTTGGTTATACAGCAACTGTGTGATAAATGAAAACAGAGGAGCACATCAGTTCATGCAGGGTGGAAACAGAAGTGTAATCAGGGAAATGTGATGAAGCTGAAATAGGAGGAAAAAGAGGCAGAAGAATTTTCTGAGGAGGGTCTGTCAGACTGAGCAACACTCTTTCACAAGGAAAGACATTTGGAGGCTGATGCAACATGATACTAATGAAAATTTTGGCAAAAATGAGGGAACAGTCTTGCAACACTGGGAGAGTCACTTTTCTCCCAAGCTATTGTTCATGGCAGTTCTGCTGCACTGCAGAGCCAAGCTAGCTCCACAGATTTCCTCCTCCTGTCCGTGGCTAACAGTCACAGCATCAAAGACACGTTTGGGAGACACA